AGCCCAGTGAGCACGGGGAGGGGCTAGAAGCCGGCCGGACAACCATTAGCGAGCGGGGGCCGGGCGGCTCGGGAACTATATTTCCCAGGGGGCGTAGCGGCCGCGGCCGGAAGCGGCGCGCCTGAGGCCCAGTGCGCAGGCGCCTGCGTCGCCTTGGTCTATATAAGGAAGGTCCGCCATCGCCGTCGTTCTTTCGTTCCTGAGACGCCCTGGTGTCCCTTTTGTGTGCGATGTCTCGTCCACGCGGGAGTTATTTGCGGATGGTGAGCTGAGGCCCCGCGGTACAATTTTCTGTGCACCTTGTACCAAGTTTATGCTGTAATCTGCTATAGTCTGGCGGCGTGGCCTGTCCGGCGCCAGCCCCGGGTTGACCTTAGGGGAGAAGTGGATTAGATGTAAAAGAGGCTTTCAGGTTGGGCCTGGAGAACGCGTGGCTGGTGTAAATGATGACATCGCTTTTTTCCCCGTCATATCGACGATGCTGATCTCTTAAAATACTTTGCCAGTTAGTCCTGATACACCAGCCCCCCAAAGGCCTTGGTCTGCTTTGTTCTCTGATCGAGGGAAGATGGCGATTGACGCCTTTATTTTGCAGGTTGGCTTGATGAAGCGACACGGAGCAGGGGTTGGAGGGATAGAAGACGGCACCTTTGCGCCTCCAGGGAGATGAGAGAATACATCTGCGGTCTTCGACCTCCTAATCTCTTCAAGGTGCGATTTGTCTAATGGCTTAACATAGGAAACATTAAGAGCTTTTAAATTGGTTGTGATTTAGAATTCAAATGCAAGATTTGATGCTGTGAGATAGGTTTGCCAGTGCTAGGGATGGAACCCTCATTAATGCAGGGCACGTGTCTTGCCTCTGAACTTTTACTATTGGTGCATCCTAGTGAATGGACAGGTTTAAGAGAAACATGTAGATTGCTTTTAGAAAGCCTCAATTTTCATTCCATCATAGTGGTATCTCCAGTTCCGGGTGATGCAGATCCCAGTCCTGGTCAGTTTATTTTTTGGCAACTAGAAAAGGCAATCTCAGGGCCAGAGAAATGGTTCAGTGGTATAAGAGCGCTGGACTGCTCTTCCAGAGAGCCAGGGTTCAAATCCCAACACCCATGTGGCAGTTAACAACTGTGATTTCCGGACCTGACACCTCACACGAACATGCATGCGGAAAAAACACCAATGCACATAAAGTAATAAAGATAAATTTAAGCTGGGCGGTGGTAGTGCACGCCTTTAATCCCAGTACTCGGGAGGCAGAGGCAGGCGGATCGCTGTGAGTTGGAGACCAGCCTGGTCTACAAGAGCTAGTCCCAGGACAGCCTCCAAAGCCACAGAAACCCTCCCCCCCAAAAAAAAGAAACTAAAGGCAATCTTTACTGGGAGGCTACACCCATGAGATTGGTCTGTAACACATTTTTTTCTTTTTTGGGGAGGTTTTTCGAGACACCTGGCTTTGGAGGCTGTCCTTGAACTAGCTCTTGTAGGTCAAGCTGGTCTTGAACTCACAGAGATCCGCCTGCCTTTGCCTCCTCAGTCCTGGGATTAAAGGCGTGTGCCACCAACGCCCAGCCCACATTTTCTTAGTGATTGATACAGGAGGGCTCAGCCGGTTGTGGATAGGTAATGTCTGAGCCTCATCATCTCAAGTTGGTGGGATTTTTTTTTTTTTGTGGTTTTTCGAGACAGGGTTTCTCTGTAGCTTTGGAGCCTATCCTGGCACTCCCCCTGGAAACCAGTCTGGCCTTGAACTCACAGAGATCCGCCTACCTCTGCCTCCTGAGTGCTGGAATTAAAGGTGTGTACCACCAACTCCCCACTAAATTGGGATTTCATGGTTTCCTTTTTCTGTCTTTAGAGATAAGGTTTCTGAGTAGCTTTGCAGCCTGTCCTGGAACTCCATCAGTAGATCAGACTGTCTCATGAGTATTAGGATTAAAGGCATGCACCGCCAGTCTTTTCTCAGCATTTTCTAAGAATGCTATAACTTGAGTTTACATGCCTGTAAGCACTGCAGAGTCTTACGTTGAGAGCCGATCTGAGTCTTCATAAATATTAGTAGCCTAGATCTGAGGCTAGTCGGGGCTGCATCACGTTTAGATGTCTCAATGGTACGACATTGTTTTGCATGTGAAGTGTAGCGGTCAAGCCAGTTGTACCCTTAGGTGTGGTTTGTGCTGCAGTGGGCCTTAACCATCTTCACTAGTGGTGGGAACAGCCAGCTTTCCTGGGGCACATTTTCCTGTAGGTGAAAGTTTCCTAGACAAGGCAATTGAGAATTAACAGTTCAGCAAATCTTAGCAGTTACAAACTTTGCTTTTACAATCCTTACTTGCAAAGGAGGGATATATAGATATAGCTCTACCAACTAGCTGCCTGCACATGCAGGACTAGACTCAGAAGTGACCAGGCATGTATGATGACGGAACTTTTTTCCCCATCAGATCGACCATGTTGATCTCACTCTTCCAAGCCAGTTTGTCTGACATGCCTGCTAGAGCAGCACCTGCTGGTGCTTGCTATGTCCTCTGCTTAGTCCAGGGAGCTGATTCTTTTCTGCTTTTTGTGTCAGGTTTGCTGACAGCCAAGACGAGGTTTTGAATGGAGAAAGAATCCGGAAGTCAGACAGGATTGGTAAGTGGTGCCCATGTGTCCTCCACTGGGCATGGGATCTCTATGAAACTGTTTCTTTTGACAGTTTGGCTGATGCAGCTGATGACATTACTTTTTTCCCCATCAGATCGACCCTGTTGATCTCATAAGCTAATAGCCAGTTTTGTCTGATGCATTGGCCCCAGTAATAGTTCTTGTTTTGGCCTTGATCTGTTTCATTTATGATAATGGCTTCATTTTTGCTTTGTACAGGCCTGAGGGAGCCATGGATGCCAGTGTGTGGATCTGCTCTTGCTTGATTTCAGTGTCCTGAAACCGGTGAGTTTCTGTTGCTAATGGCTTTGACCCAATCTTAGAGATGCTAGTACTAGTTTCTTCCCTTTTAGCTTTTTGCCCCCCCCCCCCTTTTTTGGCGTTTCGAGACAGGGTCTCTTTGTGTAGCTTTGGAGCCTATCCTGGCACTCACTCTGGAGACCAGGCTGGCCTTGAACTCCGATCCACCTGCCTCCTGAGTGCTGGGATTAAAGGCGTGTGCCACCAATGCCTGGCGTCTTTTTTTTTTTTTTTTGGTTTATTTATCATGTATACAGTGTTCTGTCTACATGTATGCCTGCAGGCCAGAAGAGGGCACCAGATCTCATTATAGGTGGTTGTGAGCCACCATGTAGTTGTTGGGAATTGAATTCAGGACCTCTGGGAGAGCAGCCAGTGCTCTTAACCTCTGAGCCATCTCTCCAGCCCCTCTCCCCTTAGCTTTTTGAACTCAATATAGAAGCATTCACTCATCACTGTGCTTGCTGTTAAGTGAATAAGGTGAAGGGATGTACCATCAGAAGTTACCAGGCATTTTGCCCTGGTATCCAATGTTATGTGATGCAGTTCATGCTAGACAAGACTACTGACCTTCTGGCTCCTTTCTTTTTAGGCACTTCTCTGGAGCACAGACCTTGATCAGCGCCGCTTCCTGCTGGCCCTGTTCCATGAGGACCAAGGGCTATGTATAATCCAAAAGGAGTTTTCTTTCTAGACTTGGGTATGGTATAGTGTGTGCTTTCACTGGAAATACTAAATAACAGACACCTTTGGCCTCCTGTCTGTAGAAATAAAAATCTGACCAGGTAACTTACCAGCCCTGTATTTCATGTGTCTACCGTGGATAATCGTAGGATCTGGTCCCCAATGTAGCTTCTTCACTTACATATTCCCATTTGTTCTGCCTAGGATCAGACTGTCAGTCTGAATTACTCTAAGCCCGCCGTCCTTTTTATTAGTCCAAACATCAGGGTGGCCTGAGTCAGTGATATTCCTTTTCCTGCTTGGTGCCTCAGTTCCCTCCCTCCCGTCCAAACTTTGAATAAGACACTTGGCTAGAGAAGGCAGGGTGGTGTTGGCACTTGAGTGCTGGTACCTACCACTTGGTTACCCAGCTTGTGAAAGACTCCCAGCTGGAGTGGCCATCTTGGGTGAGTCATGGCTAACTCAGCTGAGGTGAGACTTGACTGAGTGGCACAGTTTATAGTCTGGGCCCCATCAGGATAAAGGCTTTAACTTGGGCTGCAGTGACCCTGTAAACTGAACTAGAATAAACCCTTTTCTGTTGTTTTTCACAGGAGTACCTCCCCCACGGTTTCTATGGTCATTCCTTGATTAGTGTTTAGTAAAGAGAACCAGGACTTAACAGCCATCAAATGGCTACCTGGAGGTTCACTTTGGCATCTGCAGGACACTTCGATTCAGGGTACCAAATCTAGACTCTTAAAACACGCTAGGCAACCTGTCACAAGGATGTGAAGGTCCTAAGACAACTTGGTACTGAGATTTTGTTTCAGGGGTCAGGATCACACTTGGGCTTGTGTGGTAGTGCTTTTACTGTATGAGCCCAAAGCCTGAGTTTTAGGTTTATTTTACCTGTGTATGTGCACCACTTGGTATTCCCTCAAACTGCAGAGCTAGATCCACCTGCCTCTGAGTACTGGGATTCAAGGTGCTTGCCACCATATCTGGACACATGGGCTGAATTTTGAAAAGAGAAATAAGGGGCTGGAGAGATGGCTCAGTGGTTAAGAGCACTGACTGCTCTCCTAGAGAACTTGTCTTCAATTCCCAGCACCCACATGGCAGCTCACTGCTGTCCAGTTCCGGGGGATTTGACACTTCACACCAATGCACATAAAATAAAAAGTTAAATGTTTTCAAAACAGAAATGGGTGATAGGTAGGTAGATCCTCTAAGTATGCTTTTAAGAAGTGGTATTTTTGTGAATAACACCTGAAATCCACTCTGGTGGGACAAAGGGGTTTTTTTGTGGGAGTGCTTAAAGGACAGCTGCTTTCTGGATGTGGTTATTCCAGGGTTTGCCTGGCTGTCTCAACCCAGTTTCTTCCCATTTACATTCTAAGAATAACCATGCTGTTTAAAAGTTACCTACCAGGTTCCATGCCAAGGCCTAGCATCTGTAGAACCCTGTCTCTGCTGTGGCAAGAGATAACCTTATTGCCCCAGTTTTGTGGGTGAGGGAAGTGGCAGTCAGCAAATGGCTCTGCTGTGTCCCTTGCCTGGTCCTCTTTGCTGGATGCTCCCAGGAAGATAAAAGGGACAGCTCTCCTCCCTGTGGCTTCTTGGGTTCCCAGCTAGGACTTCAGAGGGAGAGGAATCAGGTACAAGGCAGAGATCCAGCTGCCTCAGGCCACTCCTCCGTCCAGCTGTTCTACAGACACCCACGGATCTCACCTTTTAGACAGGATATCTATCCCTGTCTGGCCTTGAACCTGCAATCCTGCCTTCTGGGATTCCGGCTTTCTTTCCCCTTTTGGGGGAGGGGGGTGTTTCAAGACAGGGTTTCTCTGTGTAGATCAGGCTTTCCTGGAACTCAGATCTGCCAACCTCTACTTCCCAAGTGCTGGTATTAAAGGCATGCACCACCAGGCCTGGTGATTTTTAAGTTATGAGTATGCCTGTGTGTCTATAGATATTCTCATGTGAGCACCCACCCACAGTTGCTGCTGGGTCCCCTAGAACTGGAGTGAGCTGCCTAATTTGGATGCTGGGAACAGAATTCATCTCATTCTTGTGGGGCTCGGGTCATTGTTCCCTGTGTGGCCCCTGCAGATACAGGGGTCCTTTGCTGTTTCCAGTTCCAAGCTTTGCACTGGCCCTGTGTCATTCTGGAATTATCTTCCGCCTGAGCCATTCACTGTTCATGTACAGAGGTAGGCCTAAAAAGCCAGACTCAAATGGCCTCTGTTGGCTACCTCCTGAGGCAACTCGCTGGTTGCTTCTTCCTGTTCACTGTCTCCGTCCTGCTTGGGCCTTGATCTCCTGATCTCTACTGTTGGTTTCCATGAACTAGAGTGGAAACTTCCTGGAGCCTATGAGAGTGACCTTAGCGAGGACCAGCAATGGAGGTGTGGAGCCTGAATGGCCATCTTCTGTAAGCAGGGTAGGCTCCCCATGGCGGGCCTGGGACACCAACCCTGATGTAAACCTACTACCCACACGCAGGAGTCCAGCTCCAGTGGGGTTCTTGTGCTGCAGGATGATTTGTGAAGTCAGCGGAGAATGAAGAGTCTGACCACTGGTTGTCTTTCAAACGGATGGACCTGATTAGCTCAGGCCACCTTTTTTCTTTTTGAAGATGTTTTTTTTTATATTATGTATAGTGTTCTATCTGCATGTATGCCTACAGGCCAGAAGAGGGCACCAGATCTCATTATGGATGGTTGTGAGCCACCATGTGATAGCTGAGAATTGAACTCAGGACCTCTGGAAGAGAAGCCCCTTAGCCATCTCTCTAGCCTTAGGCCATCTTTTCTTTTCTTCTTTTTTTCTTTTTTTGGTTTTTTTGAGACAAGGTTTCTCTGGTTTTGGAGGCTGTCCTGGAACTAACTCTTGTAGACCAGGCTGGCAGAGATCTGCCTCTGCCTCCCGAGTGCTGGGATTAAAGGCGTGCGCCACTACCGCCAACGCCCTAGGCCATCTTTATTTAGCCAAGTTCTAATGCATTCAAGCATGAGCAGTTTCAAAATTTTTTTTTAATAATTTTCCAAGAATCATTAACATTTTAGTGACAGCATTAACCTTTACCCCATATCATTATATAGCAAGCCAAATGTTTGTATCTAGCCAGGTACTGTCTCGAGCCCTTGCCAGGTTTTGACCTGGGAGGAATGACAAACTCAGCGAGTTGGTTTTGAGTATAAGTTTTACTTCACACTTATGTCAAAGCAACACACAAGCATAAGCAAGCAATCCTAAGAACCACAGACAATAGGCTCACAGCAGGGGTACCTCTCCTGCAGTGGCCAGCAGGTTTCTACCGGACTTCCGCTCCTCTGGATTCAGGCCAGCGAGTCTCCTGGGTGTCATGGAGTTGGGCTCGGAACCGGCGCCACTCAGCTTGATGGACTGGTTGTCGGGTTAATGGAGGAGAGCTCCAGGACATGGAGTCGTGGTCCACTCTAAAGTTCCCAGTTCTGAGCTGGTCCTTAAATAATTCGCTAAATCATGCTAATCACACTTTGCCACACTTCACACATTCTCACTCTTATCTACAACGGCTGCGCTGCGTAGTGGGCCTATGCTCCCTTTCCTTTAATCTTTCTTCAGCCAGACCTTTGCCTGCCTGGTTGTAGCCTCTGTCCTAATCTCCCTCCAGCCAGGCCTTTGCCTGCCTGGTTAAAGGCTCCTTACAGGTACCCTTGTTCATACTGTTCCTAGCTAGCAACAAACGTGCAGTTACAAAGTAACAGATGTAAGTCCTGTGGTTAGGTTTTTAAAAATTTATTTAACTTTGTTTTATGTGTGTTGGTATGATGGTGTCAGATTCCCTGGAACTGGAGTTACAGACAGTTGTGAGCTGCCATGTGGGTGGTGGGAATTGAACCCAGGTCCTCTAGAAGAGTAGCCAGGGCTCTTAACCACTGAGCCATCTCTCTAGCCTCCTGTGATTAGTTCTTAACAATATGAAATCAGCTGATGCCTAGGATATCATTTTCAGGTGTATACCAGTTTCTAAGTAATCTGATGTCACCTTTATTATGTGGATTACAGTTATAATCCTATTCTTTATAAATTCTTAAAATAGTAGTGATTAATACCTATTGGAACTAAATTTCTTATTGTTCCTGGCAATTTCTGCATGTACTTTTCTTTTAAGGGAACTGGGAGTTTTAGATCCCTACCCCCAACCCCCACCCCAAGAGAGGGTTTTTCTGTGGCTTTGGAGGCTATCCTGGAACTAGCTCTTGTAAACCAGGCTGGTCTTGAACTCACAGAGATTGGCTTGCCTCTGCCTCCCTAGTGCTGGGATCAAAGGTGTATACCACCACCACCTGGTTTAGATTCCTTTATTGATACTTTGACATTGGAAAAATAGAATGTTCATGTCCTGGTACCAGAGAGATATCTGACCTTTATGTCTTACCTCTTTTCCTTATATGTTCCTATAAGTTTTAATGTCATCTTTTAGGAAACTTTTCCTAATTCTTAAGTTCTTTGGAGTATATTTACATAGGATTAACAAAATAAATCTGACCTTGAGAAGAGGAAGGATGGTAGGAGCCAGAGGGTCCAGGACACTAGAGCACAACCCCCACAGGATCAGCTAAGCAGGGCTCACGGGGCTCACAGAGACTGAAGCGACAGTCATGGAGCCTGCTTGGGTCTGAGCTACGTCCTTTGCATATACGCTGTGGTGGTTTAGCTTGGGGTTTTTGATGGACTCCTAACAGTGGGAGCGGGCATGTCCCTGACTCTTGCCTGCTCTTGGGATCCTTTTCCTCCTCCTGGGTTGCCTTGTCCAGCCTAGATATGAGGGTTTGTGCCTGGTCCTATTGCATCTTGTTATGCTGTGTTCGGTAATATCACTGGGAGGGCTCGCTTTTTTGTTTGTTTGTTTGTTGTGTTTTTCTGAAGGAAAAGGAGGGAGCACGGACGTGCAGGGGAGGAGAGACTAGGCAGAGGAGAGGGAGGGGAGAATCTCTTTAATTTGGGTTTTTATGTTTCTTTCTTTCTCTGTTTGAGACAAGGTTTCTCTGTGTAGCCCAGGTTGTTCTGGAACTTGCTCTGTAGACCAGGCTGGTCTTGAGTTCACAGAGATCCATATGCCTTTGCCTACTGAATGCCAGG